CGGTTGTTCTCTGTGTCAAGATGAGCCTGTGCTGTTGGCAGACTGTTGGATTATGCTTTTTTCAACTCTTCAGTGTAGCTGTAATAAAATAGTAACTGAAGGTTTTCCTTTGTATTCTGCTACTATATGTGATTAGATCAAATTTCAGAAGATCCTCTTCTGGTCCCTGCTTCTTTTCTTCCAGCCCTTGATCTTTGGACATCTTTTTCTTACTTGCTATATCTTCACCTGTTTTTCATTTGTTTTGTTCCTAGCTCCGTCTTTTGCCAGTGCCATTTCTCAGTTACGTGGAGATCATTGGTTTTAATATTTTGTTTGGTTGTTCGTACAGCCAGCTTCCTTCTTATGCTGCTTTGATCATCCTTCATATGCATTAAACCAGGAGCCATAAGTGCAGTCATGCAGGTTGGGGAAGAGCCCTTTGTGAGGCTTGACCTGTGAGGTGGGCTGCTTGGGTGCTCTGCTCTCCAGCAGTTCCTGCGTCACTGGATTCCACTGCGCAACCATCCGCAGTGCAGAGAGCAACTAGTGGGTTGCAAAAGCAATGAGAGACTTAATGATTTAATGCCTAGAAACGTATGTTTCTCTTTCAAATAAGAAGCATTTTTGCTGTGAAGAAGGACAAAGACGGAATTTAAATAAAATCATTCTGGACCTTATTGAACAAAAAAGAGTGCTACCCTATTGGTTAAAGTAGGACCTGTATCTTCTAATAAACTTCCAAATTCCTTTTGTTCTTTAATTAGGAAAGTCCACATGATAGATTAACAAGAGGATCAATACTGTTCAGATATTTAACTTACCCTTTTTTATGGTTGAATTTTCCATGTTTTCAAACGATTCTGTATTTACCTTCCAAAAATAAGTAACTAAACCAGTGTTTTGCCACTTGAAACAGTATGAATGAAAACAAGGTGAAGAAAAGTACTAATTTAGAAGTGGTTTGAGCTGTAAAAACATATGTTTCCTGTGGTGTATTTCCCTTTCTCAATGGACATTTGTGCTTGTTTTCTTTTATGAATAGATGAACAGGCGAGTAGAAAACAGATTTGATTTTCTTTGCTTTACTACTGGCTCTAGGAACAGAAAAGTTGAAATGCTGTTAAAATTCTCCCAAATCTTTGAGGCTGCACAATGTTTCCTTGACTATAAAAAAATATTTCACCCCAATAATTGTTTATTTCATATTACAACTACCTAACGCTGTGCCCTGTCCTAGGCATGGGAATGTCCCCGTGCTCCAGGGATCCAAATCTAGAAGGGACTTTGTTTGTCTTATTGTGGCGAGGGAGGGAAGAGTAAGTGTTTCACTTAGTGTGGCAGGTTTTTATCCTGCCTCTGAAAGCTGGTTTGTTCTTTGCATGAGCTCTTACAGTGCTTTTGAGAAGTCTTGGACTGGGTCTTCTGAGTCTGAAGAAGTCACATAACTCTACTACAGATGAGGCCCTGCTCTGTCAGCAGAGATGAAGGGACTAAGATGAGACTAAGGCATGTTTTGCCTGAATGTGCTTAGGCATACTATGAGGTTGATGCACCTTGCTTCAGACAAAGGAACCTCATGAGGAAAGGTTTAAAAAGATAGGGATGGAAAAGGAAGAACTGAGGATTACCCAGCTAATGATTTCTGCTTGTCGCTCAAGCTGTCCCCGTTTTCCTAGCCATATACGTTCTGCAAATATATAACAGAACATGTAGGTGATGCTAATTGTTTTCTATTTAAAACACAGTTTATGATCCGTTACCTTGAATGAAATCTGGTTTCATTGAGTGACTTTTATTTTTGTATTAAATGACTCTGGAAGATAAAAGTTGAGAGAACTCAATCTTTAAACCTTTTATAGCAGCTCTAAGTTATAGATGAGTTCTACATTGCTTCTCCAAACTTATCATCCAGCTCTACTTCTGAAACTGTTTCCTTGCATTGTTGTTTTATGGCATCCAAAATATTACGGTTTTCCTGTGATAAACTGTGCTAGCAGAAGCATGATGTGAACAGATAAAACAACTTTCTCTGGTTTTGAAACTTTTTGTTAAATGCGTCTTGTGAAGCAAACTGTGGCAAGAAGTGCTTGTATATCATTTGCATATTGCCTGGGTAGTGAGATCCTGATCGTTTGTAGTAATTGCCTTCTTTCGTAACTCTTCCAAGGGGAATGGAGAATTCAGTTTCCTGAACGGCTCGGCATGATCATACTGTTCTCTAAATTAGTGTTCGGAGATGGTAGCCCTCTCCCCCTCCTATCTGAAATTACATGACTGTATTTGTTGAATATATATTCAACAAATATATATTCAAATATATATTCAACAAATTAATGAATATATATACACACATGAATATATATATATGTTGAATGCATATTCATATACATTCTGTTGCACAGACATCATATTTCAGTAAGAGGGTTGTTAATTTATAAGTCAGTAGATAATTTAAGAGTAGTAAAGAGCGGTGCAGTTCTCATGAGGAATGTTACGAATGCAAGCTGTTATTGTTTACATGAGCATTATAGTCAAAGGAAAACATACCTTTTGAGATTCCAGATTGACTGTAGGCCACAGCAGGAAAGTGAGGTTGAGTGGTGCAGAAAAATCAACAGCAATAAATAACAATTAGAGAAGGAAGCTTTTCAGAATGAGATTTGACAAAACCTGTTTGAGGGAGTAAATGAAACAAACGTCTCATGGCAATTTACTGTTGGCCCACTTTCATGTGTGGTTGCAGGCTAGGTAAGGGAATGAAAGATGGTGAAGTTGAAAAGATTACAAGGCAAGGAGGTTACTGCCATTTAAGAAGGCAGATGACAGAGAAGGAAAGAGAAAAAGAGACGATAATTAAAACTGGAAAAGAGGATGGACAGTAAAACTGACGAATGACAGAAGGACATGCACCTCAAGCAGCAACTGTTGGAAATGGGAAAGCAGGAGGTACGCCACTGAGATCATGAAGATGAAGAAAAGCGAGGCTTTGTTGTCTTGTAGGACTGACTATCACCTTGGAGAAGGGAGAAGTTAAGCAGGAGAGAAATACCATAGATTGTGATGGCAAAAATTCATGCAGAAACCCAGATAGGAGAGGAGCAACAGCTGGAGGAGGAAGGGGCAGTGCTTGAGGCAGCCATAGTGTGTACAAAGTGTCACCTAGCACTGAGGGGACAGACGGGTTCTTTTAGGGTTCCTTGGCAGAATGGCTTTACCAGGGGTCAGGAGCAGGGGGTACCTTTCATGCAAGGGCACCTGCATATGAGGAAGCACAGGTCTGGGAGTAGCAAAAGAGTCAGGGATCCTGAGAACATGGTCCAAAACTGCCAGGGGGCAGTGATGGCTGGTGGCTCCCTGGAGACTGGGGCTGAGGGCTGCAGGGACACCCCATGGGGTTGGCAGCCAGGAGCAGGGAGCCAGGGGCACCGGGGGATGGGGACAGGCTGAGGCTGGGATGGGATGTCAGCCCGTGGGTGGGTGTGGGTCAGGATCAGACACAGCCTTGTGATGGCTGGGTAGGGCCATGGTGATGTGCATTGCTACGGACAGTTGTCGGAGAGTAAAACGGGGAAGGCAAGATATGTTATTTGTGGTTGTAAAGATTTTGCTGAATACATTAAATCAATGAAGTGTCATAAACATAAAAGGTTTTGTTACGCTGTTGTATTTGTTGATGTATACTGCCTTCTTCAAATATTATTTAAAAGTGGTAAGAATGTGTAAATAATTAGAAATGTGAGATAAAAGTACAATGGTAAGATTTGTAGCTTCAGGAGCTAGATACTGATCTTGCTCACCTTATTTATCAAAAGCTGTGTCATACCATTACTATTGTTTAGCCTCAAATACGGGCTAAACGCAGACAGTGTGATACATAATGGTTCAGCAATACAGAAAGAGAAAATAGTTTTCTACCTAGTGTATTAATTTTATATTTGGTAAATAATAATATTTCACAATTATAATAGAAAATACTGCATGTCATCTGGAAATAAGGGGATTGTTTGAGCTTTACTATTAAATGTTAGTCTTATTCTCTAATCATTGCATTAATACATCTCCCAAAACGCTCTTGCTCTAGCAAATTTTCCTAAATGTGGTGCTTGGAACCTGGTCATGCATTTACATGCAGTCTGAAATTGAGGATATTCCTTTGGGCATAATTTTACTCAGAAATGTTCTAACATCATTAATAATGTATAAGTGTAGCAGGTTTACATTAAAGCAAGGCAGAGTCTACGTCACTTCTAATCTGCACAGTAATTCCTACATGGCAATTAATATTACAATAAGTAAGTAAAAATGATGGGGCAGGGGGAGAATATACATATACTGAATTTTTGGAGGCTAGATAACCTTTTGATTGATGACTGAACTGGTTCAATTCAAATTGCTTACTCTGGCATGGTATTAAAAATTGGTTTTCTGTACTAAAGCTCACACTATTACTGTAAGAGCAGAAGGGGTAATGGATATTAAATAATGGAAAACTGTAAGAAAAATTTCTTACTTTAGACAAAGCTATTTTAGTTAATCGTGATTGCCTGGCATTGCAGATGTGATTGTGTCTGGGTCTCTTTGGGCACCTTTACTGTGTATGAGCAGACCTTGTAAGTGGGACAAGTATCTGAAGAGTACAAAGTGATTTTTTTATTGGTTAGCAAATATAAAAGGCATGTAGGATTTAATGAGCTCCTAGGCTAGACATCGATGTGCATCCTGTCCCCGGCAGGACACTTGAAGAGTCTTTGCTGGCCAGGCAGCTGTGAGTGGGGTGGAGGAGGGCCACCCTTTGCTGCTCCCTGAAACAGGTCTTCATTGCTGCCAGGTCACTGCCTGCCACCTGCTTGCTTTTCTTCTTCTTCTATTTCAGGTGATAATAATGTGTTCTGAGAAATACAGTTTGAACAGAGAGCGAACACCACTCCTGGTCTTAAATACTCAGTTCACAGCTCCTGCAAACCTTTTGGAAGATTTTCCAGATGCACAGCCTGCAACTGTCCTTTCTTGTGTTCTAGGTAATGGGCCCCATCATGATCGAAGTTGTGTTTACAACCAGAGCAACATAGTAGATGGAGTTTACTGCCTCCCGATAGCACACTGGATTGAAGTCTCTGGCCATACTGATGAGATGAAACATACAACTGATTTCTATTTTAATATTGCAGGACATCAAGCTATCCATTACTCCAGGTAAAAGAAAAGTGCAGGGCTTAGCTGGTGTCAACTATTCAAACAGAAAACCGGTACCGACATAATGTCAGCAAACTTTGAAGTGGTGAATGGTAGTATATGTGTAACAGTAAAGTTTAACAAATATTCAACACCTCTTCACAATTAAATGTCACTTGTGGCAATAAAAAGGAGAGATTTTGAGTTCAAGGATACCTGCAGCCTGTACAGGTATGATAAGTTGCATCATATCTGAAAGTGACTGGTGGTAATTTATGGATAAATTTATGAGGAACTGTCATTTTCAAATGCTTGTCCACATACACATGTAAATATGCATGTATGTAATGTGTTTGGTTTGGGATTATTATACTGAAGAACGTCTCCTGTGAAACAAAAAGAATATATTCCAGCACCAGAACTTCAGGGCAGCTGCAATTATTAACAGCCATCGTAGATGACTTCTGCTTCTGTGCATGCATTTTAAAAAAATACTAGAACTTAGACAAGACTTGAAATGGTTGTACTTCCATGGTGTTCACTTGAGTCCACTGCCTCACCAGCGAAGTGTCCTGGTGTGAATTAGCTTGGCAGTAAAGCTTAAAGAGAAGAGGGCAGCCACCCTTTAGGGCTGCAAATAAAGCACAGGCTGTATTTAGAGCAGCAGCCTTAGCACTGGTCATTAACAAAGTGTCACTGAGGACTGTTTGTAACTTTTTTCTCACCTCCAGTCATGGCTGTAACAGCAAATTTGTTGATTGATGATGGTTGTATGAATGCTGGCAGCCCTGATATCCACCTTCAGCTGGTGTTGGTTACAAAGCAGTCAGTGATCCCAAAGGGATGTGTTATTTTTTTGAAGAAATCAAACCACCACGTACTTTCAATTAGGTCTCAGCATTGCTTTGTGTGAATTTCTCCAGATTACCGTTTCAGCTACTCCAACCTCACCATCTTGTCTCGCCTTTCTACTCTTTTGTCTCCACCCTGACACAGGGCAGGAAGGAGAATTGTCTTTTTCTCATCAGAGTTGCAGTGTATGAGGGAAGGATTTTCCTCTCTTAGTATCTTCTGGAATAGCATGGGTTCATAAACACTGTTAGGCATACGTACACATTCATGTGGCTTGGTACCTTTTCTCTGAGACCCTCTCAAGCTATATAATGCACCTGACAGACTATACTGTTATCTGTGTCTTAAGCATCTGTTTCTAACACCCTATCTGAGAAAAGATCTTGTTTATTCCAAAGCACAGACTTAGAGGAAGTTTGTGAGAAAGAAGAACAGCTGTCAGAAAGTGAATATCTAAGCTGCAAAGGCTAACTTATCTTCCTTTCCTGAGGCAGCAGCGATCCATTTAATACTGCCTTATCTGTGTGACTATATGTTTCTAAGATTAGGTTAAAAGCACTGATTCCACTAAAGAATATTTGGAGAAAATTTTCTGAGTAGTGTAGTCTTTTCCAGATGAGAATCTCCTCCTCTGTTCCCCTCTCACACACACATACCTTCATTGCAAGGCAGCCTTAAATGTACATCTTCATGTAAGTAATTTTTATCTCATTTCTTTCAGCTGTATTAAGTGAGCATACCCCATAACAGTCCTGTCACATAATTATTTTTAATACTTTGAAGATGTGCAGCCTTAAATGACTTTTTAATTATTAACAGTTTGGGGCAGATTCACCATTCTGCTGGTTGTAACAAACCAGCCTCAAAATACTGGCTAATTAAGATCTTTTTTTTTTTTTGGCAGAGCAGCTGAAGTGAACTGATGAAAATGCTTTCATTTTGTAATGGATTTATTGATTCAGAATAGTACTATGGAGATTAATATCACCAAAAAAAAAAAAAAAACCACACTCAAAAAAAACCCCAAAACAGAAGCAAAGAGCCAGTCCCTCTGCCTGTACGGTTAAAAGCTCAGTGTATGATCGAATTGTAGTTACTCAGCTAAGCTTACTTTTTTCCACCCTTTAATGGAGGCAGCAGTACCACAAGAAGCTTTATGAGCACAAATTCTGAGTCGTGTCACCAGATGTAGGGTCTTTACAGAATGGTGGCAGCTGGAAAGACGTGATTTATCAGTGAAAATTTTTGATGTGAGCCCCTTCCCTATGTTGCCCCGCTTACAAGGATTGGCACACGCAAATTAGCTGGAAAGTTTCTTTCTGTCAAATGGCCCCTCACTTCAGCCTTCCATCTCATTTTACTTGTCATTTGCCTAATCACAACTATTAGAAACAGTTGCACTGAGCTTCACTTCCACCTTGCTGCTTAAAACGTGTGCTTAAACTTTAGATGAGCTGCAGCAGGATGAGAAGAGCCTGGTTCCTGCTGTTGCCAAAAATCAGTCTGAATCATGCTGAGGCTGATGGTGATGTTCTGAGGAATCAGATTTTTCTTATTCAGTATAGATGTATTTGCTCATAAATCAGTGAATTTATGTTTAAACTTTTATTTAGAGAACTCCCTGTGTGTTGGTCATTCAGGTTGGAGAGTATATGATGTGGTTTTTCAAGCATAGCAGGATTTGAAATTAATTTTTTTTTCAATGTGAAATGGAGCTCACCTGCAGCTACAGAGTCATGACTGATACCTCTGTGGCATTAGCGTTCACTTGTTTTGAACATGTAATGACGCATATCACTGAAATCTGATTCAGGAAAAAATATCCGTCCCTTTCGTGTTAGATATTACTGCAATAAGATGCCTTCAAATTGCAGGAGAGTTCACTTAGGACACAATAATTTTCCAAAGCAAATCGGAATTATTGTAATTTTTTCTGGGAGAAGATGACTTCAGAAAATTTGTAAATCTAGGGCATGTTAGCTCTGTTTCAGTTCCATCTGTGAAAGGTGGAATTTCCTAATTCATAGGTGTTATGTACCTTATTATTTATATAAAAACCTTGACATTTTTCAGAAGAAAGGTGTTGCGTAAGAGCAAGAGAGGGAGCGTCACCTGAAATTACAAAATCATTAAATAGTATGTTGGAGATAATGATGCTCGATGGCAGAATTAGATGCTACAGGAATGAATATCACTGAGAGGAAAAGCCATCTAGTTATAGTTTTCGATTTTCAGACTAATTTTAAGTTCCCAAATCTACTCTTGATAAGGAGTGAGTTCCCAGAGATTTTGCCTACTCATTCCAATATGATGTATGATCACCACCTCTTCATTTTAGGACATAGGCTTTTATGCGCTCTATGGTGTCTAATTTTTAATAATATGTGTTTCAAATTTACTGTCTTCATAGCTGTAATTTTATTCATTGTGTTTTTTGTGGGTCATATCTCCTAAATCTGATGAAGAAAAATATTTTTTTGCATGTAAAAGGCAGCTAAACTGAGTTCTGTAAATCAATTCCTCAGACAGCCATGATAGCTAATCTCTAACTGATATATTGTTACAGCTGCTAAATGCGTTAAAGGAAAATAAACAATCAGCTTTAGACGCACAAGAATGTAACGGGGGAGTCACTACGTGAGAGTAGCTGTGGGTCCTGACAATTTTTTGAGGTACAGTTTTTGTAGTAGCTTTTTTGCACTGAAATATTAAGGCCATTAAATATTAATATTTCATGTTTATGGAGCAAGTGGGATGTTCCTGTAACTGGATAGAATCCAAGAAATTGTGAGGTTGACAAATGTGATGTTGTCATCAGTGTTTATGTCCCTATTTTTTTCCCTAAAATGAAATAAAGCAGAAGATAAAATAAACCTTTGTGCTTGCAGATACTATTTTTGTTTATTTGTTTCTTGATGGCTGCGAATTACATTTAATTTATGATGTAGTCTTTTTACAAATGCTTTGTAGGTTGTTAGTAAGACGGCTTCCTTCAACACTGCCATAGTAATGTAGGTTATAACCTAAGTTAAGTGTTAAGTGGGAATGATCAGGAGAGTCACATAAAACGCGTGCTCCCGATCTGTACTAAAATGTTAACACAGATAGGTGAGTGGATGAGGAATGATCCAGGGCAAAATCCAGATGCTTCTTATTTACCTTCTGAAGGCACTAAAGCAGTATTCTGCTGATGAGCACTGAATTTCCTTTTGTCTGTAGTAATTCCTGTGAAGAAGATGAGCATTTACTTGATAGACATGCATCTTTAATTGGGATGGAAAACAAAAAGCTGGTTGAGTATATTTTTACTGGAGAAGGGTAATAATATAACTTTTGTTAACTTATTTGGGTCATACGAGGCACAGTTAGTGCTATTTGAATGTTAGAACTCTGCTGGGATTGATGAATGTAAAGACATGCTTAAAGATATCTGTGGTAGGACTCAGCTTGAGATTAAGACAACTAAGTTTGTATGTCTATATACAGCAATTTAACTCACTGACAACTAGGTGTCTACTTTAGAGTGAATTGAAGAATTCAGTTGGTCTCCAAACTCCACTGGTGATGCTGATGAGATCTCTATTGATTTATAATGACATGTTAAACATCCTGTCTGGTTGCTTGAATGTTGATGTCTAGTGTCATTTGGGATGCTCTGGAGTTTACTGTCTGGCCTCCAGCTGCTACACTGCAGGAACATGGTTTCTGATACTCGTTGGCCATAACTGTGAGCCCCATCCAGATGTTTGAGATGCTGTAGAATGTCTCAGATGTCAGTGGGAAGCTGTCCTTAGGCAATGCATTGAGCATTGCTGTGCCTGAAGACACCCTTTTATAGATAAAAAGGGCTAGGTGTCTTCATCTTGATCTTGTATCCCATCCCTAGCCTATGTTAATGAATGATGTCCGTATCAGTTCAATATGAAGTCAGAATTACCTTTAAATTATGAAACTGGAAAAAATACAAGAGAGAGTGCTTTTATTTATTTTTACTCTTGAAGTTCTCTTCTGACTTACTGATATTAATTCATTCACAAAATAAAATACCCTTCTGTTTTAAGTGTTATTCTGAAGAAATTTTTTTAATACTGAATTATAAGAACAGCTTTAAAGAGGAAGCTGTCACAAAAAACCCACTAGAGTGCAGTGAACTTTGCTACTGTAATAGA